TTGTATATCGTGAATTTTTTTTATTTTTCCTAAGCTTCCTTATTATTAGAAGACGTGACACCCACGCATCGATATGCTGTTTTACAAAAAAAGACATATATTAGTGAATTACATTAATTTTTAAAAAAATTAATCAAAATCATATATAAGACAAATATAAGACTTACCTCCCCATCGAAATAGCCACTATCTTCAACCCCTAATAACACACCCCATCAAGACCGATTAAGCAACAAATACATCTCATCGTTGAGTTTGCTTATATCAGTGTAACACCCTTGGCTCCGCTCATGTAGATAAAAATCAACTGCGGTCTTAGCCCAAAGGGTATTATCCAGAATTGTTTCCGGTAGTTGTCTCCTCTCCACTTCAGATACCGGAAGGGTACTAGCCGGTAACTCATACGAGAGCCAACTCTCATCCATCATGTCCGGCAACGGTGAGGGTTTCTCAATAATTCGATATATTACCCCATGTGAATCAGGCTCTGGAATGGTGGGAGGGACCTCTTCAGCGATGACAGTGGCCTCTTGAACGGTGGGGGGGACTCTTGAGGGATGATAGGGGCCTCTTGAACGATTGGAGGGGACTCTTGAGGGATGACAGGTGAGTCGGGCTTCTTCTTGCGGAGTCTTCGCACTATTGGGGTGAACGGAGACGTAATAGCACATCCACGCCGTCTAATGCGTGAACTCGGTCGTGCAAGGAAAACCCAACGTAAAGCATCCACCTTATCGGGCCGCTAAAAAAAATTAATACATAAATCAGTAAATAAACAGACATGATATTAAACAAAGACAAATATGTTTCAAACTTGCATTGTATTCACCCAAGTCATTATTCTATCATAGTTCACAAAATGCATCAGATAACATTCCAGAAGTAAGCACTTATATAAACATTTAAAAGGACAACATATATAAACATTCCAGAAGAAGAATAGTTTACTTTCGCAACACGAAACTTACTTTCGCAACGCGAAAATGACTATCGCAACACGGAAATGGCTATCGCAACGCGGAAATGGCTATCGCAATGCGAAATGAAAATCGCAACGACAAAATCGCAATGCGAAATGAAAATCGCAACGATAAAATCGAAACGCGAAACACAAATCGCATTGCGATTTTCATTTCGCGTTGCGATTTTGTCGTTGCGATTTTCATTTCGCATTGCGATTTTGTCGTTGCGATTTTCATTTCGCATTGCGATAGCCATTTCCGCGTTGCGATAGTCATTTTCGTGTTGCGAAAGTAAACTATTCTTCTTCTACAAATTGAAACTTGAATGGATTACATTACTTCAACCAAAAGACAAAAACAAAACCAAAAACAAATACTAACAAAAACAGTTTAGCAGTATTGGCAGCAACCGAATGAATTTATTAAGCAATCTAAGTGAAATGGTTAATCTAAGTGAAATTACGAGTAAATTTATCATCAAGTTAAATATGAAAAATCTTAAACTTACCTCGTTGCGTAGAGTATGAACCTCATTCTGCAACGATGCTACCATCTCACGTAGAGCGGCTACCTCACCGCGTAAAGTAGACACCTCAACACGCCATGCACCATCGTCTTTGCGTAAAGTACCGACCTCCTCAAGCATTGACCTCATCACGTAACTCCCCTAACTCATCTCGTGGAGGTGGAGAACAGGGAGATAAACGTCGTGGCATCTTTGCCGGTCGCCTATCTTGCGGTGATGGTGGAGAAGAGGCTCGATGATGTGACAGAATAGGTGATGGCTGTCGTTGTGGAGGTGTATAGTCGGGTCGATCAGGTGATGGCTCTGGGTGAGGTGATAGCTCTGGGTGAGGTGATGGCTCCTGAAGTGGAGGCTGCTCATCATCCGTGCCATCAAAAAAATGCTTACTAGCTTGCCACCAATCAGTGGCAAGCTTAGCTTCCGTGGATGTCAGCCTCTGTAATGGAGTGTTAGCCTCCTAACAATATAAAAGCTCAAACAAAGTTAAACATGTACTAGTAATAACTTGTTTATAAACATATGGTAGTATTTATGTTAACTTACATTATTTATTGTCGTATACCGTAGTAAATCTTCCAATTGCAAGGTCCGTTTCCTCTTCCAAGAAATAGCCCTGGGAATATCATTTGAAGTTTTTATTGCATATGTCTTCATGGAGGGAAAGGCCTCAAATATCCAAATCTACAAACAATATAATTACAAACATTAGTAATTGTTAAATAATTACTTATAATTTTGGAAACATTATATAAAAATTCTTACCTTAAAGGCCCAAATAAAGCCTGTCAAAGTGTATTTGGAACCATCGCCATGCAAACTTTTTCGATCATCAAAAGCATACGATAACTTATTCCATGTAGCTTTCCATAAATACGAGCCCCACGGAAACAGGTTCCACGCATTTAGGTCTTCTACCAATTTGATTAGATCATTCGGAATAGGTTGTCTGGCCTCTCTGCCTAAAAAGTCGGCATGCAAAAGTATTATAAGGCATACTCAGACAACATCGACGTCATCCATCCGAGTAAAACCATCTTTCTTATTCAATAATCTCGTCAGGTCTTCCACGTGTAGATTCGACCTCTCCAGCTCAGGAAAAACCCAGGATAACCATGATGGGCGGGTAATGTGTCTAGTGTACCGACCTACATCATCGTGTCCGAAGCGTAGACCGGTGATTAAGCAAAACTCCTCCCGCCCAAAACACGTATACGCCGGTGGAAAATCAAACCATATCTCTTCATCACGACGTTGTATAGTATCTAGTAGATCCCTAGTCATGGTTTGAAGAAACAGGTGTGTCAACATCGCATCTCCACCGGGATGTTGTACTTTCAGCCATGGCCCGAAGCAAGTATCCTCAAACATTTTTCTTTGTGCAGGTGAAAGCTTCGACGCAATTGTTTTGGACAGGCTGACTTTATTTCTTAAGGTCAATTGAGCCGAATAAAAGTTCTACAAAAACAATAAACATACTAAGTTAGATATACCAAAAACTACACTGTGAAAATATACCAAAAACAATAATAAACATAAAGAGTAGTAGTTTATTCTTCAAACTTAAATTTGCAACACTGTGAATTTCTTATTTGTCTTTGTTTTTTGGTTGAAGTAATGCAATTCATTCAAGTTTCAATTTGTAGAAGAATAATAGTTTCTGAAAATGAAAATCGCAACACGAAAATGACAATCGCAACGCGAATTTGACTATCGCAACGAGAGAATAAAATCGCGTTGCAATTTTGTCGTTGCGATTTTCATTTCGCGTTGCGATTCTCGGTTGATTTAATAAGCAATCTAAGTGAAATAGTTAATATATTATTGAAATTACCAGTAAACTTATCATCAATTTCAATATGAAAACCTAATAATAATGCAAAAATTTCAAAAAGATAATAATTAAAAAAACTAACCATCGGTGGTTGATTTGGTTGATTTTCCATTTCTGATTGTGAGGGTGGCTCTAAGAGATGGAGATAGACGGATTTCGCCGGAGATGGGGACGGATTTCGTCGGAGATGGGTGAGAGAGTGAGAGATGGAGATGGGACTGAGTTGTGATTTTAGGTTTTAGGTTATGAGTTGCGATTACAGGATATACTGTGGACGGTTCAGTGTTCCAATATATTAATATTCGTGTTTGGAATTTGAAAATAAAATATGCTTTGCGATACTAATGGCGCTTTGAAAATCGCATTGCGATTATATATTATCTCGTTGCGAAAGTCAGTATCGCGTTGCGAAAGTAAGTGTCGCATTGCGAAAGTCAGTATCGCGTTGCGATTTTGTATTATCGCGTTGCGATAGTCAGTATCGCATTGCGATTTTCCAAATTCCCATTGCGATTTACTTATTCGCATTGCGAATTGGGAAAATCGCAACGCGAAATTGGAAAATCGCATTGCGATAGTAATAATCGCGTTGCGAATCTGGAAACTGATTTGCGATAATGGAGATCGCGTTGCGAATTAGCGATCGCATTGCGATTTTGTTGGTCATTTTGGCAAATTCGGAAAAAGTTGATTAAAATCATATATTATATGAGATTTTTAGTCACTGAGGTTATTTTTTCATATTTAAAACTATGGTTGCAACCCTATGCCAATAACGGGAGTGGATTGGGCCAAAGATAACGAGCCTATTTTGCAATTGTGGACAAAAAGATGGTCAAGCATGACAAGACGGAAAGAAATAATTTTAAAATCAAAATGTGGGATTCATATCATTTTCATTACTACTACTATCGATGAAACAGTAGAGGAAAGTTCAACTAGGAAATTCTCTGCATCAAGGGAAACCTCCAAAAGAATCTCTAATAGATTATCCAAATAATCAAAGTAATGGAAAACAAAATATGTACGGATTTTTTTTTGTTTCGGATCAAGATCCATACAACCAACATTACAACTCAGAAAACGATTCTGTCCTCAAAAAAGTTAAACTATATGTATAGTACTTAATTTTTTATTTATTTTTTAGTATTTAAATTTTATTTTTCAAATCATATCTAATATTTAATTTAAGTTTCATTGTAGAACCTCTCCATTAAAAAAATAACAGAACTATTGATTGAACTTTTTTATTTTTTCAATGGTGTCACGTCAATATCACTATTAAATTTTTAACGGTAAGATACTAAAATAAAACCTAAACTAAACGTTAGGTATAATTTTGAAAATAAATAAAGTTTGGGAACAAGACGTAACAAAAGCAATAGTTTAGGTGCTAAATGTGTAGTTTACCCAAAAAAAAAGATATTTCTCTAATTCTCTGTCTTCCATGGCAGATTCTGTTACTTCAGATTGGATATAGCCAGCCAAAACCCCTCCTCTTAAATTTTTTTATATCAATTATTTCTTATCTCCCTCTTAAATCAAATCAAAGATTAATCCGAAAAAAATCATCAAATATTTGTGATCTCTGCTTTGTGATTTTGTTTTTGTTCCCCCCCCCCCCAAAAGTTTGCTTGAGAAGAGAAAATTTCCCATTTTCTCTCCCTCCAAACACCCTGTTTCTTCTATAAATGTAATCTCTCATTACTTACCGCTTGCTTTCTTTTAGTCATTTATGTTAGTTCTTGTTAAGTTGTGGGGTACAACTATAGGCTTCTTTTTCATCATACTCAACATGGGCGGCGGCTGTGGCGGTGACTCCTCCGAGGACGTCGTGGTGGTGGAGCTTGGAGATGAACCCCATGTTTTAGCTGTGGATGATAACCTCATTGATAGAAAGCTGGTGGAGAAATTACTCAAGAACTCCTCCTGCAAAGGTACATTTTGTTTTAAAGAATTCTTCATTTTCTGACCATTTTTCAATCAATTTTCATTTAGGGGAAGGGATTGTTTTAATCAAATATTTTCTTTCAGTGACTACAGCTGAAAATGCACTGAGGGCTTTGGATTATCTGGGACTGGGAAATGATACACTGGAAAGCACTGTAAATAACATAAAATTCCTTTTCTTTTCTTCAATGGTTTCGAAATTTAATAAGAAAACTCGAACTCGAAACACGAAACGTAAAGTCGAAAACTCATGAATATGGTGTTTAATGTCTGGTTTTTATGTTTACAGGTTTCTAAGGTGAACCTAATCATAACAGATTACTGCATGCCTGGAATGACAGGCTATGAACTGCTCAAGAAAATCAAGGTAAAATATAAAATTTCATTACTCATTAAGTACTAATTAGCCGGGATTTAAATTGCATTTTTGACGCTGCGTTTTTTTGTTGCCTTATATTTATGGCTGTTATGAATATAATGAATGTTATTACTACTATTATAAGTATAGCGATCATACAATAGCGATCTCGAATAATACTGTTAGTGTTAAACAACTGTTGTTATTCTAATAATAGACCGCTGTTAAATTCCTTCAAATTAATAAAGTTTTTATGTAGCTTTTTCTTTCTCATGATTTAATTCTCACCATTTCATGTTAAAACCAGGAATCATCGGTTCTCAAGGAAGTTCCTGTCGTGATCATGTCGTCCGAGAACATCCCGACTCGCATCAGTCAGTAAGTTTCCGCTCATTCGATTCAATGACAAGTGCAATATCGTCTTGTTCGAAGAGTCGGATTCGAAATCTGGTAGTAATTGAAGATACTAATTTTTTTACCCATTTTGATTTATTTATTATTATTATTACTATAAATATTATTATTATTATTATAAATATTATTATTATTATTATTATTATTATTATTAAATATATATATATATATATATATATATAAATAATAATAAAAAATTACAAGCCCAGTCAACCGGCCCAAACCAAACTGAAACCCTAAACATTTAGGGTTTCAGTTAGGGTTTTCTAACCCTAGCCCCATGCGCCGCCGCCTCAATGGTTTCCAGCCGCCTCAGAAGTCCTCAGCCACCGCCGTTGGTTCCAGAAGGCCACACGTCCGCTGCCTACACTCCACCAATGCCACGAAGCCACCCCGAAGAAGCCTCCAGAAGCTTTGCTGCCACAACCCCGACCGTCCACGTCGCCTCTATGGTGAGTCACCAGCATAGCTTTGGTGACTCACCGAACGTTTCACCCTTCAGACCGGTCCGATGGCCACACCGGTGATGGCTATAAAGCCATCACCCCATCTGCGAACAGGGAGAACACGGAGACGGAGAGAAAAACAGAGAAACAAAATACTAAAAAACTACCAACGACCTCAGCAACAAAGAAACAGAAAAGAAAAAAAAAAGAAGAAGAAATAAGAGAAGCTTACCGAGGAAGCCCCGACCACCGGACCTCACCAAAACCTTCGAAAAACCGAAGGCATATTTCTTAGATTTACTCCGATCGGGAGCCGTTTAAAAGAAAAAGCCATCGGAACCGTCATTAGGACGGTCCGATCTATGTTTTAGTAAAAAAAAAAATTTTCCGGCCACCGCTCGGTGGCCGACGGCGATGGCTGGCGGCGGAAGAACACTGGCGGACGGCTGCCGGCCGTCTGGCTTCTCTCTATTTTAGAGAGAAGCGAGAGAAAAATTCTCTCTCTCAGAGAAGAGAGAGAGAGGAAAAATAGAGAAATGAAGCTGGCCCTTCGGGCCAGCCGGGTTTGGGCATTAAATAGCCCTTCCCAAACGACGCCGTTTTGGGGAGGGCTATTCGTGTAATTAATAATAGTTAAATCCTTTCCGCAGTCCTTCGAATTTGTAAACTTTACATTTTAGTCACTAAATCAAATTTATAATCCTTTTAATTTGATCTCTAAATTTTAATTTTATTTATTTTAGTCCTTTATATTAAAATAATATATTTAGGGTAAATAACAGATTTAGTCCTATAGCTTTAATAATTAATATTTTAATCCCGAGTTTATATTTTTAATTTATTTTAATCTGATATTCGAATTTTAGATAAGTTTTATTTTAGTCACTAAATTAATTAAAAAAAATAGTATGTTTAATCCCTATAATTTTGATTAATTATGAATTAGATTTTTAATTTTAATATAATTTAGTCACTATTTTTAAATGTGTTCATTTATTTTACTGCTTTTAAATATATCGTTCTAATTATATTTTTATTGCTTTATTTAAATATTTTTATTATATAGTCATAAATATATATAATAAATAATAATTTATATTTTCAATAAATTATTTTAATATTTTTCAATATCGAAGAAAATGACAGTCTTAATATAACTGGATGTCCTATTCTGGTATTTTAAAATTAAAAATTATTAAAAATTATTATTTATTTAAATTTAATTTTATTAATATCAAAGAAAAGAGCTGTCTTAAGGCACCTAGAAGTCATTTTCTGATATTTTTAATAAATAAATATATTCTATATAATTTTGAAATAATAGGATTATAAATTAAATATATTTTTAATTTTTAATTTTTAATAATAGAGACAATTTATAATAAAAAAAAGTACCAATTTTGGGCGTTGTAGGGGTGCTAATCCTTCCCTAAACGTAACCGACCACGAATCCCTTTTTATTATTAAAAAGAACGAATTTTTGGTTATAAACGCAGATCAGTTCATTTTTTAATTGATGTTTTTTTTTAAAAACTCTTTAAAAAATAATTTTTAGGTATTCGACCTACCTGACCCAAAAGGCCGATGGCGACTCCTAAATTATTTTCAAAACCATTTACTCACTTCAATTTTCCCGCCAAGTATAATATTTCGTGCCCGGACAAAAACAGGTTACGACAGTAATGTTTTAAAGTTTTTTTCCTGAAAAAAAATAAACAGATGCTTGGATGAAGGGGCTAAGATGTTCATGTTGAAGCCATTGAAACAGTCAGATGTGAGGCAATTGAAATGGCAGTTGATGAAACGCAGGAACTGAAAGTAGTAGAAAGGCAATCAAGAAGATTTGTAATGAAAAATTACCTTTTTACACCCACATTTTGAATTGGAAAGACCAAATTACAAACCTTAAATCATACCAATTTTAGTTTTAATCTAATGTTCTTAACATTAATACACATTGATGTTTAATGCATCTCATATTAGTCATTTTCATTGTTTAATTTTTTTTATTGATTTGGGTAATTACAGAGTGCTATTTGTTTAAATACAACTCTTAATCATTTGATGTTAAACGTTCATACCCCTAATATTTATGGATCTCAAACTCAAACTCTTAATGAATAACAACAATTCTTTTATCACTTATCATTGATTGTTTAATTTAAATAGACTATTAATTACAAATTGAATCTTAATTTAAGATTTTATAAGCCGTGAGTGTAGGTATGTTTAAAATTAGGTTTAATTTTATCTAAGTCCCTTAAATTTTTCTAAAAAACTAATGTAATTCTCGAACTATTTTTATACTTATTGTGACTGTTAATTTTTTTTAAAAAAAAAATTAATGCGATCATTTTACTAACGGTTTTCTTTATTAATTGCTATGATACTAATGTAAAACTTTATAGTGCTGATGTGGTGGTATATTGTGTTAATGTATTAGTCCACCATAGTTGGTGATGAAGCAAATGGATTAAACTGATTTTTTATCGAGTTTGAGGATCAATTTGATTTTTATTTCAAAAGTTTAAAAACTTACTTAATATTTTTGAAAAAATAAATAACTTACGATAATTTAGGCCTAGTTTAGCTTTGTTGCTCACACATCTTCACGTAAAGCGTAACAGGCCCAAGCAGATCTTTTGAACCATAACATTCAAAGTGAAATGATTATGTAATACGCAGGCTCGTATTTGACTTTAGGCAAGAGGGCACATTCCTAGATTTCCCTGCTGCCCAAGGTTCAAAGTTTTAGTTCATATAATTGAAAAAGCTAACCAATGCAATTTTTTCTAGTTTAGTGCATAATAATTTTTTTGTTTCAGTTTGTTGTCTAAGGTTTCATTTCGTTACATAAAATGGATCTAGCCGTGACGGGCAGTTAAGTTTGGCCGTTAACCCTTTAAAAATTCCAGCTAACATATTTTTTAGGGTAAAATATATAAATAGTCTCCAAACTTTTAGGGCTTTGCATTTTGGTCACCTCGTTAAACTCCTCATTCTTCTTCTTCTTCTTCTTCTGCAGTCGTCCACCACCAAAATGTTCCCCACTGTCCCTCGATCAAAAACCCTTTGGTTATTCACCGTAAACCACCGCCGATCGTCGTGGGTGACCCTTTAAAGCTCCGTCGAAAACCAAAAAACCTACCATTGATATTCTTCACAATTTCACCCACCGTAGGCGTCCGTAGGTCGCACCGTCGCCACCAACGTGAACATCGTCCGCCGACGACCAAAACTCGACCACCCTCGCACCGTAAATCGTCATCTTTCGCCGCGGAGAATGACTTAAAGTTTCGTCGAAAAACACTAAACCATCGCCGTTGTTTTTGCGATTTTCATGCCGATCTCGTGCTCTGTTTGCCTCACCACCACCTCCACTTGATTCCCCGCTTTGTTCCGACCAAAACCCAACTAATATCATTCCCTACCGTTGGGGTAAGCTCCAATTACTTTATGTTTAATTTTCGAAGTGACCAAAATGTAACGCCCTAAAAGTTTGAGGATTATTTATATATTTTACCCTAAAAAAGTATGCCAGCTGGCATTTTTAACAGGTTAACGATCAAACTTAACTGCCCGTCACGGCTAAACCCATTTTAAGTAACAAAATAAAACGTTAGGCACCAAACTGGAATAAAAAACACATTTGGCACTAAACTAGAAAAACGGACATAGATTGGACACTTTTTGTATATTTAAACCTTCTAATTATCATTTTTGTTTCGTTTTGTCACCAAACTATTAAGTTTTTCAAAATCAACTTAACATTACATTTTAGTTTCATTTTGATCATCTGTCGTTAAAAAAATAATAGAACTGATGACGTGATAGTTTTTTAAAAAATTTGAATGATGATGTGATATTATCTTATGGTGATACGTCAACATCACCGTTAATTTTTAACGGCAAGTAACCAAAATGAAATCAAAACGTAATGTTAGGTTTGCTTTTGAAACAAACAATAGTTGAGTAACTAAAACAGAATAAAAGTAATAGTTGGGGGCGCTAACTGTGTAGTTTACCCTAAAAATGAAAAATGGTCCCAGCTTTGGGATCCTCTGTTTTTGCATCTTGTTTGATGTTGAAATCATGTTTCATAGCAATCTGATTCACCTCTTCTCCCTTTCAACTTAATAACCCAACCAAAATAAAAGAACCACTAAAAGTAAAAAAAAAATGATAGAATTAATCAGTCGTCGGCATTTAGAATCGTTCATCTCCGTATTCGTCACAGCGCACCCTCATGAGATCTCTGCTTTGATCCATTCTTCCTCATGTTTCTTCTTTGTAAGCCATATTATAATTCCATCCCATAATTCAGTTTAATTTTAAGTGAAAAATCATATTTTTTGAATTGATTTTTTGTTTTCCCAGATTTTGAGTGCTTATTTTGTGGTGCTGCCATTGAGGGATGAAGGGGCAATTTCATTGGGATTATCTAATTTACCTGGATTGTTTGTTGGGTCTTTACTGTTGACTTTGATAGCTGCTCCTGTTTCTACTCTCATATTTTCTTTGCCTAATCTTTCCAAAGTCGGGGTAAGTTTCAGTTCACTTCATAATCCATTTTCAGCATCGTTTTTGTTCTTGGATTTTAGAGTCTTACTGGAATATTGAAAACGTTCAGTCTTTTGATTTGGGATGAAGTGTAAAGTTTGGCTATTTTGTTGTTGAATTTGCTACTTGTTTCCTTTGGAGAGTGAAAAGTAAAAGTGGGTTGGCATATAAAATCTAATGATAGTTTTGAAGAACTAAGTATGACTGAGTTGCTGATTGTTTCTACTTGGTTTATGAGTTATTACCGATTTATGGTTCGGGTAGAGTGGAGTTCCTGGATGGATGAATTACAAAGTCTCTCTCTTTTGTTATTGGAGTTGATACTGTTGGTGATCTAGGCATGGTTCTGGGAGAGGGGTCTTGGGAGAAATCAATTGGAAAGTTTAGCTCTCTTTGTTGTAATTATAGTTGATAATGTGGCACTTGCAAAACTCCGCTAATTTAACTTTTAACTGCCAATTATTTGACTTAAACATTGGAAGGTTACTTTCTATGATCACTTGCAAAAATGGACTTGAAGATGAGATCTTTTAACTTACTTGAGAGAATACCACCACACATGTGATGAGTAAAAGGCTTTCTTGTGTGTTAATATATGCCCGTTAGCTTTGAACCAGATAATAATGGAATTTTTGATCCCCCTTTAGTGTATGGTTTAATTGTATCCTGTTGTATTGCTGAAAAGAAATCCATAAGGTCCATAACTGTTTCTTACCAGTAATATTCTTCATGTTTTGTTATTTATTGACCTCTTATCTGTGCTTCTTGAAATTCCAGGCTTTGATTTTTATACACAGGTTTTTTAGTATATCACTTGTTGTGTTCTTCATTCTATGGCATACTTCATCAATGGAGTCTTCACAATTCTATTCAAAGGTAATTCAAAAGGCCCATATGTTTGTGTTATTCTCATGTTGGATCCTTGTTTGTCATCAGAAAATAGGTTCTTCATATTGTTTTGTACTAACATGTGGTGCAAACTGTTTGTAGAATTCACTCGGGCTTTCCACCGAACCCAAAATCGGTATTGATCAAGACAGTTCCATTGATTCTAGAAGTTGGAGAAACCATGGTTGGTTTTATGTTTTAGTTAGAATTGGATTGTTCCTCTGGGTATGAGAACGCTTGTTCTATTTGTCATTAGTTTTCCCAACCAACCATTTTCTAGCATTTTAATTTTTAATAAGGGAAACTTTCCTTTTTTTTTCTGTGTGTGAATGGAAGGTTGCCCTGCTTAATCTTATTACAATATCTTCAACTTGGGCTAGAATAATTGATGTCATGGATAGCGAGGTATTGATGCTTTCACTGTTTTTCCTATGAAGATTATGATATCTTGCTTGTGCTCAAATTCCGGTTTGCATTCAGTCAGGTTCAAGATTATTTGGTTTCATTGGTGCTGGTGCTACGCTTGGCCAGCTCTTTGGGTCTTTGTTTGCCACTGGAATGGCTTGGCTGGGGTCATGTATGTATGCCCAGTTGATTATTTGAATGTCTGATTGTCAACGTCGGTTCTTTTACCAGCAAACCCCCCCTCCGTCCGTGTCTTTTATTTTACTTTGTTCTGTTTAATTGCAGTTCTTCTCCTATTTGCTGCTGTTTTAATGGAACTAGCGGCACAGTCATCGAAAGGGATCAACAAGGATATAGGTTACATCCCTGAAGAGTTAACTCCTATAAGGTTAGCTAAATTGCCATGTTTGCATGCGTGTGTGTGTGTTTAGGTAAACTACACGTTTAGTACCCCAACTATCACTTTTGTTCCGTTTTGGTCACCCAACTATTTTTTGTTTCAAAATTATACCTAATGTTACGTTTTGGTCACCCGCCGTTAAAAAATGAACAGAACTACTGACGTGGCTTTTATAAAAAAATTTCAATGATGACATGACATTACCTTATGGTGACACGCCAGCATAGTGACCAAAATGAAACCATAGTGTAACGTTAGGTATGATTTTGAAACAAAAAATAGTTTGGTGACCAAAACGGAACAAAAGTGATAATTGGGGTACTAAACGTGTAGTTTACCCTTTCTTTGTGGGTGTACAAATATTGTTATATTCTGCCTACACATTCAGCATTTTTGAAGACATCTAGGGTTATTCACATAAATTTAATGAGAGATAGGTTGGTTAATAACGTCTTAACTTGACATGTCTTTTCATTCAATTTTATGGCCTAGCTGTTGTCTGGTTGATGGGTGTCATGTTAGATGTTAAAAGAAGCTCAACAGTATAAAGTGGCGAACTTCATTGACTTCACCCCATCTGTATACTATTGCTAAAAGAATTCTACTTTACCTTGCAAGTTTCTTGAGCACCTGCATACATGAATTTTGAGGATTGAACATCGTATGGTGTTTTCTTTTAGAAGAGCTGACTTGGATCAACCAAAAGAAGATGATGACAAGAACACCACATCGACTCTCAAAGTTTCTTCCCCTAAACAAACTACCTCTCCTGTGAAGCCTCAGCTTTGGGCTATCTTAGATGGATTGCAGCTCATATTCACATCAACCTATTTGTTGCATGTGTCATTATTCCTCTGGTTGAGTGCAGTTGTCTCCTCTTTCTTCTATTTTCAGGTAAAAATGCCATCTTGATGCACACACGTAGCTTGAATTTGCCTACCATGCATGCTAAATACTGTTGCTAAGCTTTGGCATGCATATGCTGGGGCTCTTTTTCAATGGATCATGTAAATCTCTAAGATTCTAAGGTACTTGTCCACCTTGTCCACGTTGACCATGTTTCACTATTTAATGCTAGTCTTAACTAGGTTAGCGCTTGAAATCAGAGGAAGTTTTGTATCCGAGGCTTGAAAATTTTAGTCAGCTTTTTGCTTTTGTTTTTCTTTTTGGTTCTTGCACCAAAGTTTATGATTAAAAAAAGTTGTGTTTAATTTCTCAAGTCGCGGCTTTCTTGTTTAGTGTTATGTGTTCAGTAACATGTTGGTGAGAATGCGAGTGGATTTTTATTTTACAGTAAGACGCAAATTGTCGAATGATCTGATTGCTACTGTTAAGGCTTGGTTGATGGAGCAAATGTGGCGTTGACTGATGATATGATTCTTTCCTAATTCATACAATTTTGTAACTCTGCAGAAAGTGAATGTAATTGCCATGACAGTTGCAAGTTCAGTTGGCAGAAGAAGATTGCTTGGCCAGATAAATAGCTTTATTGCTGTTTTTATCCTCACTGGACAACTAACCTTAACGGTATGCTATGTTTAATACGAGTTTTACAGCTTGTGTTGAACTAATATCTACTCATAACAACAAAGAATATGAAGTATTTTTCTTGGTGTTTATTTGGTGTCCTCGAGACTTGAGGCTATCTATTGTCCTATGGGGAGATCATCTCTAGACATTCCATGTCATCTGATTATGATCCCAACTTTTACCGTCATTGTGTCTTCACTTATTACAGGGACGCATTCTTACTGTTGCTGGGGTTACTATAGCTCTATGTTGCACCCCATTTGTTGCCTTCTCTAACCTGCTTGCTGTTGCCTTATGGCCAACTTGGATAGTAGTTGCCATTTCTGAGACCCTAAGAAAGGTTTGCCAACATTGTTCGTCTTTGCTACCATAATTGTTATATTATATTTCAGATTGCGTTTTATTTATTTATAATTCTCGAGGAAAACTTTGATAGGTTAGTGAGACGAATACTAGAAATTTTCTTACCTGGCTGTAAAGCTATCTTGCTCCAAGTCTTCATTTTTCGTGAAGTCGCTTGTTGGAATTCTGTATATTAAGGAATAAAAATATTCCTTAATTCTAGGAGTTAACTTAGACTAGACATTTCTAAATCTTAGTTTCAGATTTTTAGGAATTATTGACTATCCTTTGCTGTCTACTTTCTTATAAATTGTACACTATTGATTCTTGGAAAATAGAACGAAAAGAAGAATAAAACTTCTTCTCTTAGTTTTGTTCATAGTATCAGAGTGGTAGGCCTTACTCTATCCTGCTCATTTTTCCCCTCTTGTCTTGTCTTTCTCCCATGGCAGACGATACATAAACTTCTTTCAAATATGAGACTTCACATGTGACTCAGAAAACTCCTAACCGGTCAGGATATCGTTTATGGTGTAGCTAATGCAATCGCACCGATCACACAAAGGATAAGTGCTTCAAACTTCATGGCTATCCCGGGACAACAAAAAATCAGAAAGATAACAAGGTACTGCTTTCCTCTAATACTTCATCAGCCTCCAGGGAAACTGTCCTAGACGTTCGTCTAACCAAATCTCTACTCGAAACTCTCCATAAGATGCTTGGTACACCAACAACACATAGATCATTGGCCGTTCAATGTACTGCCCTTAATACTTACCTCTGAATCCAGTAATTAGTCCTAGATTCTAGATTCGGACGCCTTCGATCATATGACAGGTAACTCATCCCTGTTTCACACATATGCCTTTTGTCACAACCAATCGCATATCCAAATAGTAGATGGCTCGTACTCTCCAATTGCTGGAATTGGGGCTATTCATCTCACCCAGAAATTTTCGCTTGATAAAGTTATACATGTCCCTAATTTATCCTGTAACCTGCTTTCAATTAGTAAGCTCAGGGAGGATAAGAATGTCCTTACTGAATTTTTTGCGCTTGGTTGTGTTATACAAGAACAGAAATCGGGGAGGATGATTGGCACTGCTAAGGTTGACGATGGACTCTACATATGTGATAATCACAATGAAGTGAATAAACAAGGAGACTTGCAAGTAGGATCAACTCTTTCTTCTTCGAATGAGGAAACCATATTGTTTTGGCACCGTAGATTAAGGCACCCAAACTTCCTTTATTTGAAGAAATTGTTTCTTCAGTTATTTGGCAACAAAAATTCCAATTCCTTTAAATGTGAAACTTGTCAATTATCTAAACATACCCGTATACCATACCCTTTAAAATCATATATCTAATCTCAACCTCCTTGATTCATAGTTACCTTTGGGGGGCTAGTTGAATTAAAAATGTCACGGGAGCTAGATGGTTTATCCCCTTCATTGATGACCATACTAGATTTTGTTGGGTCTATCTCCTCAAAGAAAAATCCGAAACACTAACAATATTGCAGAATATTCATTCCATGATCTGTACCCAATTTAACTCCACTATACTCACGCTCTGCACCGACAATGGAAGAGAATACTTCAACTTTGTTTTGAGTCAATACCTTTATGATCAAGGAATTATGCATCAAAGCTCATGTCCCGACACACCACAAAAAAATGAAATTTCATAAAGGAAAAAACGACACCTACTAGCCGTTACTCTATCCCTAATGTTCACATTGAACATCTCAAAATATTTGTGGGGAGGCGGTACTCACTGCTTGCTACCTAATAAACCGAATACCTTCCAAGGTCCTCAACTTTCAAATACCTCTCAATGCCCTACAAAAAGCTTTTCCACTATTCCGTGTTCCTATATTGTCAGCAAAAATCTTTGGGTGCAAGGCCTTTGTTCATAATTACCAACCTAAACAGTCTAAGCTGGATCCTCGGGCTCATATATGTGTCTTCATAGGATATTCACCCACACAAAAAGGGTACAAGTACTATTCTCCTACCTTGCATCGCATGTTTGTCTCTCGCGATGTCACTTTTTTTTAATTTGAACCTTATTATTCAACAACCCATCTTCAAGGGGAGACTCTCAATGAAGATGAGAATCTTAATACTCTGCTCATAATACCTCCTGATCATAGTCCATCTATTCCAATCACACCAATTCCTAATAACCGTGATATTATCATGATCCTTGATACTGTTGCCCAGCCTGCCCTTCCCATCAAAATACAGTAGCCTCAAAACACTGTCTTGACCACCGAACAATAGCCTCGTGAAATTGTCCTGGCCACTGAATAGTAGCCTCAAAACACTATCCTAACCACTAACCAACAATCTTAAAACATCGTTTTGAGCTCCAAACAACAACAAGAAGCTCCCGGACTCCTTGTTTATTCTTGGCACAAACATTCTTCTAAAGTTGACAAAACAACAGTGCCAATCTCATCCAAACCCGATGACTGTTCTGTGCCCGAAGCATCTCTCGATCTCCCTATTACAGTTCATAACGGCACAAGGACATGTACCCAACACCCTATTTCTCGGTTTGTATCTTATGGGAATTTATCAAAGGCATATAAAACTTTTATGACTAATGTTGATCATGTAAACACCAAGAAATGTGAAAGAAGTCCTTGAATCAACAGAATGGAAACATGCTATCTTGGAAGAAATAAAGGCACTAAAAGAAAATGGAACATGGGAAGCTTCGAATCTTCCCGAAGGAAAAAAAAAACAATAGTTTGTAAATGGATTTTTACCATAAAATTCAGACCCGATGGCAGTATAGATCGGGACAAAACTCGACTCGTGGCCAAAGGTTTCACCCAAACATATGATCTTAACAACGACGAGACATTCGCACACGTTGCAAAACTTAATACGATATGATTGCTCATTTCCCTTGTTAACCTAGATTGGCAATTGACTCAATTAGACGTGAAGAAGGCCTTCCTTAATGGCAAATTAAATGAGGAGGTATTTATGGATTTTCCACTAGGGTTTGAAGAGGAGAAGGGTTGAGTGTGCAAATTAAGTCTTTATACGGGCTGAAATAGTCCTCAAGGCATGATTCAATCGATTTGCTAAAGCCATAACTAACATAAATTACACTCAAGGACAAGCAGATCATACTTTGCTTTACAAGCACTCGGGAACATGTGCAATTCTTATTGTTTATGTTGACGATATCATACTTTCATGGAATTATCCCAGTGAAATTAGTGTGAAAAAGTTCCTTAGCACAAAATTTGAGCTTAAGGACTTGGGAAACCTCAAATACTTCCTTGGAATGGAAATAGCAAGGAAACAGACAAATATTTCAATTTCTCAACGAAAATATGTCGTTGATTTACTAACTGAAACTGTCATGCTCGGTTGCAAACCTACCAAGACCCCAGTAGAGTTCAATTTGAAATTAGGCTCTAATGAGGATGGAGAAGAAGTAGACTAGGGGAGATATCAACAACTTGTGAGAAAAGTCATATATCTATCTCACACACGACCCGATATTGCTTTCGTGGTAAGTGTCATCAGTCAGTATATGCATGCACCAAGGGAGAAGCACTTAGAAGCTTCCTACCGAGTGTTAAGGTATTCCGGGTAAAGGTCTAAACTTCAAGAAAATAGGAAATGGATACGTGGAAGTTTATGCTGATTCAGATTGGGCTGGTTCAGTGAGAGACAAACGTTCTATGAGTGGTTACTGTAACTATGTATAGGGTAACCTTGTGACATGGAGAAGTAAAAAGCAGTCTGTCGTAGCTCGTAGTAGTGCCGAGGCTAAGTGTCGAGCTTTGTCGCATGGTATATGCGAGGGAATGAGGGAACTCCAAGTATCGTATGACAGACTAATGAAGATGTACTTTGGAAACCAGGCAACAATCAATATGGCACATAATTCTGCATATTACGTTCGTACCGAATCAAAGAAAAAGTCGACTCAGGAGAAGTGTGCATAACCTACTTACCCATTAAACAAGAAGTTGCAAACTTGTTAACTAAAAGTTTCAATAAAAGTCTGTTTGAAGATCTTAGTGGCAAGCTGGGTTTGATCAACATCTACACGCCAGCTTGAGGGGAGTGTTGGAATTCTGTATATTAAGGAATAAAATTATTCCTTAATTCTAGGAGTAAATTTAGACTAGATATTCTCTAAATCTTAGTTCCAGAGTTTTAGGAATTATTTACTATTCTTTGCTGTCTACTTTCCTGTAAAATGTACGATTCTTGGAAAATAGAACAAAAAGAAGAATAAAACTTCTTCTCTTAGTTTCGTTCATCGCTTGTGTCCAACATATTTCCAGTCACGGGTACGGGGATATGACCCTCCCAGTGCCCTCTAAATATATGAAAAAATATAGAAAAAATGAAACATATCCGAGTCAGTCATATATCATCCGAAACTCGTATTCGAGTCCGAGTAACATAGCAACGAAGTACAAATGACCGTTTCTTTTTTTACTATGCAGGTGGTCAATTATGTTGTAACCAAGCCCGGAAGAGAACTACTATTTACGGTTGTTTCTGAGGATGAGAAATACAAAGCTAAAGTAAGTAAATTTTATTATTTTGCTCTTTATGTTTCTGCTACTTTCTTGTGGGGAATTCCGATGTTTTATATCGCAGCGGAAAACTTTAGACCCAAGTAGTCTTTGAGTCTATGTAGAAATAATGCGTATTTTAAAAACTTGGCTTAACAGACGTCTTTCCGGGACTGGAATTGCCCTAAAAAAACACGCCTCTTGCATGTTATGAAGTGAAATAGTCTATGAAATTCTGAAAGCACTTAAATATGGTTTGCCTGAACACCTAATGCTGCAGATATGCATAGATGTAATTGTCCAGCGACTCGGGGATGCTACGGCAGCTGGCATATACAAGCTACTTTTCAGCGCTCTCAATGGACGGATATCAACAGTTTCTCTGTATGCACTCCCTGTATGTCTTCAGAAATCCATCCGCCGATCATATGTATTTATACATTTATTTACTTTCTCCGTAAGCGTATCCCTAATCAAGCTGACTAATGTTTTCCATCATTTTTTTTTGTTTCTCCAGGTTAGTTTAGTTTGGATTGTTACAGCATTTTATTTAGGACGCCATCAAACGCATTTAGCAAAGCTCCAGGTTGGATCATGTTGAAAATTTTCTGAAACATGATTCGTTTTACCTTTCTTTCGGAATCGAAGAATGAACAGGTCAAGATCCTTACTTTCATCAAAAAGATTGCTAGAGGCAACATATTCTATTAGCGGTTTCGATCAAAGGATTACCAGCTGTTTGGCATCTTCAGTTGCAGTAAGAGGTTGCCATTCTCAGCACCAAGCGGCTAGCGTATGAGACAACATTAGTTTCTTTTCTAGTTTTAACAAACTTTCACGGCCTGAAAAGTTACCGATTTCATCGCAGAGCGAGGTTTTTAGTTTCAGCAACTTGTAGTCGGTGTTGAAGGCTTGAAGTTGCCCAGGATTTGTCCACGAGATGTTTACATATACTGTATAATGTACCAGTTCCTATTGCATATGAAATGCAATTGTTAGATGACATATAATCGTCTAATTCACAAGATATTGAAACTAGCAATTCATAATTTACTTTTAATTGTGATGTTATCTGAAAACTTAATATTGATCGAGTTTTGCATGCAATTATAACATGTGCCTAAATTCATGATTTCATTTAGGGTAAACTACAGTATCCAACTATCATTTTTTGTTCTATTTTGATCATCTAACTATTATCTTTTTTCAAAAATCATATTTAACATTACATTTTGATTTTATTTTGGTCACTCGTCATTGATAAAATAACAAAATTGTTGATTAAGATTAAAATAATGATAATAAACAAAAGATAAAGAAAATAAAAAACACAATGAATGAATAAAGATAGGGATACTTAGGCAAAATTAAGGTTTTGGTGGTGATGAGCGATAATGGTGATTTGACGACGACGACGATGTTTGATAGATAATTATCCTACGAACCCTCCTAGTTGCAATTGACTAGGCAAACTTGATAATCCGCGCTAACTAGCCATCCTAATCGCAATGAAAAGGCAAATCGGAGTGTAAAGATCTCCCTCACAAAGAACTTGAATAACTTAAGAATGAAGAATGATTCGAAGGCATAAGGCAATCAACACTTGCAAAAATGTACTCAACGTTGTATTATTAATCCAAAGAAATCTGATTTACAATGGTGAATGAAGCCTCCTTTATATAGGAGAGGAGTTCCAAAGTCCTAAGTAATTAATGAATAAAATAATAATAACTAAAGATAATATTTGATTCTAATTCCTAACAAAATAATAAATCTACTCTTAAATTATAATGCAAACCACTATATTAAATTATATTACAAATAATCAATAAAAATATTAAAAATTTGTAATATTTACAAAATCTCATATTAATATCGTATAGGAATTTCTACATGTGCTATCTTTACTAAAATAAATGTTTCTTGAATTTTCGACATTGAATTGAAGCGTTTCAAGTACAGTTGTGTCATCACCCATTTTATCCGGGTGGTGACACATTTCATATTATAATATAGTGTGTATATAGAGTATAGTATGCATATTAGATAATCACATATCATATATCGTATAGTATATAATTTTAGTTAGGCGATTGCATATTAAATAATAATTGCATGTGATAGTACATATCATATAGTTGCATGTTATAAATAATAGTGCATATTATATTAGATAGTTAAATAATTAGTATACTATATATTTCATATTATATAATTTCATTGCATAATTAGTATACTATATAGTTGCGTAAATAGGTGAGTTCATATTAGTATAGTCCATTTATTTCTTTTAAATAATAACAAATCCCAAAAAATAAGTTCATTTGCATTAATAGATAGGTCCATTACATTTGTGTGCCCACTTTTTTTGCTACAATATATGCATTAAATAATAATTAAATAATAAAATAAAAATAAAAAACCCTCATTATTTTCTACATGTGTCGTCAGTTTTGGGGTTGATTCGGGGAGGGGGAATTTGCTTTGAAAAGTCAAAACAATGTTGGTGTGGTTTTTTCGGTATTGATGTCTCCTATCCAAGGCAATGTGCACAAATCCATCTCCACCCTTGATGAGCCTTGATCCAAAGTTATGGATGCTTCAATCCAAGTGAAACTAACACAAGTAAATGAAGACCCTTGGATGGAAATTTGATCCATTGGCTCACATAAGGCCACGTCATCAATCAATGGCTAAGAAGCACAAAGCAATCTAAGCCATTGGATCAAAAAATAGATCCAATGGACAAGATGTTATCTTCTCCAAAGGATCAAGGCATCGCCAACATCACCGTCGACCGGGGAGAGCTCGCTGGCGCGTGAGTCACACGCGCCGGTTCGGTCATCTTCTCCTTCGAGTCACCGCTGCATCGCCTTTGCACCTTCGCCGCACTTCGATTTCCTTCATGCTCTGGTTTTCGTCATTTCAAACCGAAAAAATAATAAAAAATCAAAAAAAAATGTTAAAGCAAGAAGGAAGCTTCTAGAACTTCAAGAATGAAGATTGTTGGAAGAAACGATTATAACAAACTTTAAGTGGGATTATTAACAAATCAAGGTTGTTTGTTAGTATAATAAACACTAATCAGGCTATAATCATTATAGGTTAACAGGCTTCCATCACTAAAGCAAGAACAAAGAAATCACAACAAGCACATACAATCATCAAGGAGAAGAATCAAAGCATTAATCTGAATATCTTGAAGAAAAGAGTTGGAAAAGGAGGTTTTTTACCCTCGGGTTTTTGTCGCTACCACTCGTCGTTAAGGTGAGCTCCGCTTCATAGTTTTTTTCTTTTCTTTTCGGTTCGAATGGGTCTAGGTTAGCCGGTGGTGGAGAACGGTGGCGAGAGTTTGGTCGGCGATGGAGAAAAGCGTCGGTGCTTGTCGGCCAGCGTCGGTTTGGGTTGGAGCATGGTGGTTGTTTCAGTTTGGGTAGCTTAGGTTGGGTGAAGTTGGGAAAATCCTATTGGATTTGGGTCTACTTTAGGTTTTGTTTCTTGAATATTTTTTGAGGAAGAATAAGAAAGAGGTTGAAGATTTTGAGATTTTAGGTGTTCTGATCTATAAAAACTTGTTCGGGTTTGAGTTTGGGTGTTTTTGAGGATTAAAGCTAATTTTTGGGAAGAACTTTAGATGAACTTGGGAAGAAAAGATGTTGTTTGATCTTGAAAAACATTTTTTAGTGGGTTCAGGTGTTTTTTTTTTTGATCTAACCTTGAGGTTGGGGTAAGAACATAGGGATTTTCGGTTGAGAGCATTTTTGGGGAGGAGGAGATTTTGGAAGAGTGAAAAATTTCTACATTTTTGGCTTTTATATTAGATGGCTTTTTGGGGTTAATTTCTTCATTAAATCACCCCATTGTATACGTGTTTTTGTTATTGTCTCTAGCTTTTTGTTTATTTTATTTTAGTCACTAATTTTTTTGTGATTTGTACTATGAATTTTAATTGAGTTCAATTTAGTCATTAGTTTCTTTCCAATTGTTTTAATTCCTTTATTGAATGTGTTTAATTCTTAATATCAATTGTCAATTCGTGAATCTTTTAAATTGGTCACTTGTTTAATTATTAAATAAAGCCTCTAGTTTTTTCAATGTTTTAATTTGATCATTAATATTAGTTGACCTTAGTTCTTTTAATTAAGCCTAATATTTTAAGTTCTTTAGTTATTAATTAAAGCTTTAGTTTAGGTTCCTTAATTAAAAATCAAATAAGTTTAGTAATACCTTTTAGGTTTAGTTTCTTTAATAAAATTAATTAGAAATACATAAATATATATTCATAATTAATTAAAAGGACATTTTTTTATTTCGAAATATTGAAAGGGGTGGTCTTAAAATAACTAGACATTCCTGTTCAATACACTACTAGAAAAAACCCCTTTAATGACGCGCATTACGCGTCATCTATGGGTGCAGATGACACACAAATGCCTGTCGTTGAAGCCACCAACATGAATCTCAGATGACACGCAATTGTGCATCATAAATTTATGACGCGCATTTATGACACACATTTATGACGCGTATTTATGACGTTTATTGAGCGTCATTGAAGTCCCCGTCATAAATTAAGATGACACACATTTGTGTGTCATAAAATTATGACACACATGTATGACTTACATTGCGTGTCATTGAAGCACACACCATTAAAAAAGATGAAACACATTCGTGTGTCGTGATTGTATTTCGTAAATTATTGTTATATATATATATTGTAGATTGACAAATAATCAAACTAAATCACATTTAATGCCTCATAATACTAAATATATATATATATATATATCATAATATATATAAGCATTCCATTTGCATACAATATATTGACATTAAGTTACAAACATAATATCCATCACCTATGGCTATTTGAAAACAAAAAACCAAGAATGTTCTCAGATTATCACAAGAAGATACTAACAGATTATAAGATCTTAGATGCAACTCCTCTAGCTTCTTCTGTAATTTTGAAGTTGCTTCTTCAGAGTCGAGAACTCTTGAAACAGGCTGCGAATGAGCATTGACTTCAACTGAACTAGTAGGAACATCAGATGCACCAGCTGTTCCCGAACCCTTCCCAAAATTAGAGTTGATCACCTTTGGTTTCCACTCCTTATTTGAACCAACTACTGATGACATATAGGAATTAATACTTTTCATATATTAATCAAGCATCAACTATCTTCAGGTGAGAACATAAACCAGTCCAAACATTTGTAAAGAGCAAACATGTTCATTTATGGTTATCAAGTTATCACTCATCACTAAGTAATATAAAAAGAACGAAAAATCAAGTAAATTTGTGGTAAAGGTATCGTAAGCTTTAAAAGATTTACTTTTCATTTCTCACAGTTACACTGTTATTTAAGGGGATACATCTATTTACATATGGGTAATTCACCCATCCTTCTTGGTTATAATGATGATTTTCATTCAAACTTGCAACAAACGTGCTACTGAATTCTATTTCGCTCAGAGGAAAAGGTGATTGATATGCATTTACCAAAATTAGTTTTAGATTCCAATGATTATAAGGAGTAACATAGTGGGTCTGAATTTTGAACATCCTTAATCAATCAAACAAAGGAGGGCATTCAACTAAACTTTCCTGGTCTAAGTGAATTTAGATAAATCCCATCTCTAACAAATAACGCACATATCTTGATATCTAGGTTAGATCGAGACAACTTAAGCATCCATGTACAGTCCAACAAAAAGCCAAAAATCAGCTTTTTTTTTGTGTATCAGAAGGATTATAGCACAAAATCCACAATGTTTCTCTGGATTTACCCAATTAAGCCATAGAACCAATAAAACACCATCTAAGTTTCATCAACAATTACCAATATATAGAAAAGTTACAAAACATCATTGATTTGGAAACTGAAAAGTTAAATAATAATCCATTCTACCTGCATGTTTCTTTGATTTGGATCCAATAAATCTGTTATTTGCTCATTTTATATCTGCGAAAGAAAATTGAAAATGAAGTGATAAGGAACAAGAATAGTACAACGCTAAGCAGTCCAATTATGTCAAAACTAAGAATCAAAATAATTCAATTATGTTTATCAGCATGCTTAATTCACAACTTCTAAACGGGAAATATAGTACAACTCAAATACCCACCTTGGCACATAGAACTCCAATTACAATCCCTCTAAGGTGGGAAACACGGACAATAATGCATAAAGTATGGAAACATGAATTACTTAATCGTATTGATTTAGCAAATTAGATTACTAAATTACATACCAATCAACTGGTAACCACGGGAGTCACATATAAGTTAAATGTCCTCAGGAATAGACTATTAATAGTAATTTAACTTTGAAATAGGCTCGCGATGCTATATGCAAGAAAAATAGAATACACAAAGGATATCATAAAGGCAAAAACAAGAAATTCAAATATCAGTTAAAAGCATAGCAACAGAGCCCCAAACAAAGGGAACTAATTAACAACACATAAAATATTAGGAACAAAAGGCATATTGACAGTGGAACTTACATTTTATTAAAGAACGCTTCTAATAATATTTAGAATTAAGCTTATTGATTACAAATAATAATGCATTAATGCTTACCTTTGGGACATGAACTTCCCATGTTGCCACTGCCTTCAAGTCTAAAAATAAAATTAACAACCAAAAAATTCAATGAGAATAGACTCTAACCAATTGACTAGAGAGCCACTGACTAATAAAAACTAACATACCATGGTTGCAAAAGTCAATACCAGGGAGAAGACCCTCCTCCGCCTAGACAGTTTCTTCTTGTTTCGATTTGGAAGTTTCTCCATTGACTTTGTTATCATTCTCATGACCCTCAAATCCTGATATAAACCCAAAATAAATAAAAATCTTTAACCTCAGCTCCATGTTAATACAGTAAACTTTCACTTGTGAAAGCAAATAAGAGGAAAGATCCAGGAACAAAAGTGGTAAGAACTAAAGTGTAACCTCACTTTTCCATCAATTTCATTAACAGACTCTCCACTTAGTCCACTATGACTGATGGTCACCTCAGAACTTCTTTCAACTGGACAGGTTGTCTCGGTATCTTCTTGAATTTGGGGAAATACATAAGAATGTGGAAGAGAAAGGTTCAGAGCACGAGACCAAAATATAGAATTCACCCTAGCATTCCATAAATCACATAGTATTAACCACCAAAGTTTGAAGTGCAAGGAATGTCATCATATCATAGTCAATCTCCTTCATTGTCCCCACCCACCCCATTTTGAGAGAGAATAAGAAAGAGTTCATTTTGAGGAGATCCCTACCAAAGGAAATCTTCAAAGCAGACCTCACTGCAAAAGAATCATTAACAACAATTCATAATTGGGAAAAAGGAAAAATAAACACACTTGATTCCTACTTTATTTGATGTAATTAATACCGACCTTTCTGAAACTCCATCAAGAGCAAGAAGTTTCTTCACCAAACCCTTCACTTTATCTTCGTACACAGAAATCAAATCCTTTTTCTATAAAACAATTACACTAACTTTCATCATCATGGGTAGTCAAATTACATGCATTTTATCTTGAAGAGAAATGTTAAACTATATGCTTATATTTACCCGTAATTCAGTTGCTCTATACAAGATTGTTCCTCTCAATTCCAGCATCTCATCATCGGTAAACCATAATGGATTCCCAAAAGTGGTGGGAAGCATATCAAGATACCTAAACCAGTCTTTGAATTTACATAAATAATAAATAAAAGAAAACTAAAAGAAAACAATCAAATATGTTAAGTACATACGGTTTCCACGAAGAATTCTTTCGGAGACGTTCCACAGTAAGAAATAAAATCATTAAAAACATATCATCAACTTGTCCTTCTTGAAATATCGCTCTACACTCTGCTCCAATTAAAGGATCTTGCAGTACTCTCATCGGAGTTATTGCTAAATCCAATGGAACCACAAGAAGAACCCCTGCCCAGCTTTTCCTCCCCGTAAAACCAATTGACCCAATAATAACCAATTAAATAAAAATAGCTTTTTTTAACTTTTCTTTAAAAGGGTTTTTGCAGCTGACCATCTTTGGGGGAATCATTGGAGGAAAAAATATTGAAGCCTTTGGTGGAGTCGCAATACTTGATATTGCAGCCGCGGAATTGAGCTCCGTTCACCTGAATCAAAACCGTTGTTCGTTGAACGAGAGGGAATTGAAATGTAAAGGGTTGGAGTAAAATTAAGTTCAAGGATTTGGAGAAGTGAACCTGAAGCCATTGAAGGAAGAGGTCGAGTTTTGTTTCCTCTGTACGCGCCATTATTGAGGGTGATCGTCACTTGGCTCAAGTTTGACGGTACTGCACTGAGATTTAATAAGGGCTTTATCGTCACCAGTCGACGTCGGCACTGGAACTCAAAGCTGGGGAATGGTATATGCTAGACCTGTCCAAATTAGTGATTTATGGTACCAAAATAAGTATACACTCAGGCCTAACAAGAAGAACATAATCGGGATGAAAAGCAGGAGAGAAAAGGAGAGAATGAAAGGAGTGCAAAACATTAGGCGTGAACTGATTATCGAGGGTAAGAAGCGGGAAAAGATGAAAATAATGGGGGGAAATTAAAAGACGACTTTTACAGATGAAACACAATTAAAAAGTGTATTCTGTGTTTTTGCAAAATTTTTGGATTATGACTATTAAATATGACACACATTATTGTAAGTCATAAATCGTTCAGATTTTAAAAAACATGACATTTTTTTATGACACACATGTTTTGCAAGTCATAAATTAGCGTGTGTCATCGTTCTTGTGTCATTAAATGTATATTTTCTTGTAGTGATATTTTTCTAATAAATAAATATTCTATTAAGTGATCCCCACAAAAATTAAGTAGGTTTATTAATTTTAAACGAAAGGGTAGAGGTTCGTTCCTACATTTAAATTGCCAAGGACAAGTTGTTGATTAACGTCAAAGGCTTGCCTTTGTTATTTAAATCAAGGAAAGTCCTTATTCTTTTCAACAATAATTTGGCTAATTTGTCTCCTTTAATTTTTCTTTAGGGTTTAATAATTGATTAATTCTTTAATTTTTAAGGATGTCAATATTTTATTATTTCGATAAAAACATAAGAAATAACCGCCTTAATTCTGTTTAGGGGGTTAGTTTATTCTTTAATTGGAAATAAAAATTATTGTGTCTCTCTCTAAAATTTTAAAATATCTTAGGGAATAAAAGGATCATTAATTAAATAAATATTTGAACTTATTAATTTTTGATATAGGGATAAATTAATAATTGGTTGTACCAATTTTGGGCGTTGTGGGGGTACTAATCCTTCCCCAAGCGTAATCGATTCCCGAACCCAAAATCTCTGAATCCTAGGCCAAATCTCATTTTTTTTAATTTTTTTATTTAAAAAGGTGTATCACGGGTTTTCAACCTATCTAATCTCAAAGGTTGATGGCAACTCCAAAAAGTTCAATTCTTTTCTACAAATTTTGATTTTTTTAAATTTTTTTTTCGATTTTTGCCACTTTGAAAAAGTCGTCGCAACATCTTGGCGACTGTGCTGGAGAAGACAACTGGAATTCTTGGTTTCTCAGAGGGTCAGACCTTAAAACAATTATACTTTGTCCATGTATTAGAAAACTAGGAAATTCAAGTTTATTTTGCTCTTGATTCTTTTAATTTACCTGTACTTTTCCTTCTATTTAGATTATTCCTTTTAATTTTATTTTGTATTCCCCTAATTATTTTAACCAAGTTGTACTAACATGTGATTTGAGTGACTTTTTCAGATGTTCTAATATTTCCAAGATTGCTTGTCTGATCTGGTTCCTTTCTCTGCTCGTTTGATTAAAGATTTGAGTATTTCTCCTTACACACAACACGACATATTCATGACATCCGCTCTATACCCGAGTTGTCCTTTTTAAGTAAGAGTGAAAGTGACGTCTTCGTGATAATTTATTCTCTGTATAGACCCAGTGAGTAACTTTCGGGGTCCAAAGTACCTATGTCTTCGTAGGAATTTATTCCTTGTGTCAGGCATAGGGAAATGCTCCCTCTCGAAATTTAACTTCATCCATAAGCCTGTAATAGGTGAGGATCGAGGGTCTGACTAGTCCAAGGGGGCATCAACAAGGATAATTTTGAGTACCTTATCCTGTTAGAGCCAAAACCATGCATTTAATTTACCTTAGATCCACCCGATGCGAAACTCTATCGGAATTTCACCATATGTACCCGGATAAGTACAAAAGGGAGAATTAAACTCTAAACCTTTATTTTCTTTTTTCTATGTCATTGCATGCAAACTAGAAAATCATGCGGACTAGGTTTTACTATATATTATTATTATGACAATACTAATCGATGTTTCTTTGTTTTTTTGTCCATTTTCCTTTTATTTTCTTTGCACTTATTGCATTATTCATAGGCTGAGGTATTAGATCTCTAGTCAGTTGTGGAAGTAGAAGGCTTTTAGTAGATGGAAAACAAAAAACATTCGTTAGATGGTTTCTAATATATAGAAGTACGCCTGTGGTCTGAGGCTCTATAGAGGGAGAAAGGGGATAATTTACCAGCCGATCACGGGTCTAGCCTGCTTGAGTATGCGTCGATTTCTTTGAAGAGAAATCACGTGTCTGACTTGCAACATCTTAGTGAGAGTCTTTAGTAGAGAATCGCGTTGTGTCGTCAAGTCCAAAGCCTTGAGGAATAATTGTAACATTGTCAAGAGCATGTTTCTAACTTAGAGCACAATGTTAGTGATGCTCACAATGAACGAAGAGAGGTAGTTGATGCTTGTGAGGATCAAAATACTGCTAGGGAGTGCGTCATCATCGAGGTATTGATTCAAATGAGCGAGGTCGCCCAATACTTGGTAGAGTTGGCTGCTCGGGCTAGAATAGTGGGGCTTTACTGCGACTCAATTTCAGAGAAAAGCAAGATAGTATTGTCCTTAATATTTGAGGTTGTAGAGTTGGGTAGAAAGTCTAGGCCGTACTTGTAGAGAGAAACCATTGTGCACTAGACTTTTCATTTTGAAAGTTGTTCTATGATAGCTAGCTTTCCAAGATCGATATCTCTTGCATTCATGCATTTTTTATCATTCCGTGTTTAATATTTATTTACATTTATATTCATATTCATTCATCAAAACTTTTTATAAATTGCAGATTTTTATTTGAGGATATTCTGGTTCCTAGTAAAAGTACTTCTCACTCGTATAATACTCAGGGAAACTAAAGAAAATATGGAAGACAAATTGAAAGAACTTGAAGAGGCTTAGAAACGCCTTAAAACCCGGCTAGAGAACATTCAAAATTACCTAAGAGACCAAGTGTCCCAGTCTCAAAAAGATGTGGCAGATCAAATTGCCGCATTACTTGGAGTTGACCCTAAGTGAAAAGGTTCTAACATGGTTAATTATGGTTCGTTAACTCATGTGAGGGATCAACCTGAAAATGTGTTACCTGGAGGGGGAATCTGAATTAACACTGCTGGAGCATCTACAACGCATCTCGTTCATCTCAATGACAATGCTAAGTACCTCGATAATGAAATCCCTGATTTCAGCTTGTTTAGTGAGGCTGAAAAAGCTAAGTTTGAGTTAGATAAACATTACGAAGATTGTTATAAGAAGCTTAGAGATAAGGTCAAAGCGATAAAGTCCATCGATGAATATGGCGTGGATACTAGAAAGCTTAGCCTGGTGTTTGATCTGGTTCTCCGTCACAAGTTAAAGACTCTGGAATTTGAAAAGTACAATAGAACCAGTTTTCAGTCTGCTCACCTTACCATGAACTATCGTAAGATGCCTAGGTTTTCTCATGACGAGAAGCTGCTCTTTCATTCTTTTCAAGACAACCTCATCGATTCTATAGCTCGGTGGTATACACAGTTGAGTCGTGCGAATGCCAAATCATGGAAGGACTTGTCCAGAACATTTATGGAACAATATAGACATGTCACTGACATGATACCCGACCGGGTAACCCTGATGAATATGGAGAAGAAACCAAATGAAAGTTTCTGACAATACGCCCAAAGATGGAGAGATTTTGGCTGCACAGGTTCATCCACCACCTTTGGAGAAGGAAATCACAGTCCTTTTCCTTCATACACTGAAAGTCCTTTCTTGGATCACAAGTTGGGGAGTGAGTTCTTCAAGGAGTTTCTCTGACATGGTAATTTCAGACGAGCTGATAGAGGCAACTGTCAAGAGTAGAAAAATCGAGGGTGGAGAAAAGCTAGTATTTAAAAAGAGAGACAATGAAGTAAATTCTGCTACCACCTAAAATAAGGGCTATTCAAAGAATGGTGCGTTTACTCAATCGAGGGCCATTAGTACATAATTTAACACCAATAGAGGTGACTATCGAGGAAAAAGAAGGGAAGGGAAGGAATTAATGTTCACACCAAGTCCAGTGACTTGTTGATTTATACGCATCATTGTTCAAGTAAAACATGGTTCGTCTATACCATCTCAAACCGCTCTAACTGGCTTATCCAAAATGGTATGATGCAAACGCACGATGCGAATATCACACCGATATTGTGAGGCATTCGATTGAAAATTATGTGGCTTTTAAAAAGTTGGTGCAGAACTTGATTGATACGGGGATGTTGGAATTTAACTCCCCTTATGTTGTAAAGAACCCATTGCCCAATCATGATGGGCAAGGAGCAAATGCCATTCAAGAAGAGAGTAGGAGAAAAAAAAGTACATTTTTGAGATTAAATCCAAACTCAATTGGGTTTTTGAGCAACTTACAAGTATCGGTTTGATTAATCAAAATCCGATTTCTGGTCAGGACGAAAGTGGTTTGTTTTGTAAGTTTTGCAAGGATGAAAGGCATGAGATTCAATATTGTCACAAGTTCAGAGCTTTAATTCAATCAATTATGGACAATAAAGAGATTGAATTCTTTGAAAATGTTGAAGAAAGGAAAGAGGATGAGGTGTGCACGTCAGAGTACAGTAAATATGCATACGGGGTTAGAAAGCCGATTGCTATCATTGTGAAGCCTAAGGTGGAAAATCCTGCCCCTGTCACTTCTAAAATAGTGATTTATGCTCCGTCCCCATTTTCGTTCAAAGATTCACGTAGGGTGTTGTGGAACTACACCACCATTATCTCCGTATCAAGGGAGGTAAAGACTGTGGAAGGGCCAAAAGTGCTACAGGAAGTAAAAGTAAGCACTGATGAGAAAATGAAGGCGCCTATCGAGGTTATTAGTGAAGTGGGGAAGTTCAAGGGAGTGGTAGATGTTGTTCTCTTCCTAAGACATCAAAAGAGGCCAAGAAGATAAAAGACAAAGAAAAAGCTCCACCACCTCAGAAGATATTTGAG